AAGTAGTTTGGAGCCACCACCACCTCTTCCAAAGCAACACACACGTTTGAGGAAGCCACCGAATCCACCAAAGGAGAAGTGTTAATTGCACCCAATTCACTCGTCAGGGGAGTACGGGTTACACCATCAAGGAGACATGTCTGGTTTGTGGCCATTCAACTACTACCAGGAGAGAACTACTCCCCCAATATCCTTATGACCAGTGTCCACATGAAGACAAGGATTTTCGTGGTTCTTCAAGGTCTGTTCACCGAACCTTTTGTAAGCAGTGTTGCACGTATCTGGATGAGACTCCGATGGAGCTCCAAAGGACCCGAAAAGCAGTCTCCACCAAAGTCTTGGAAGCACCCCTGGAAAGAGTTTCCATCATTGAACAACTGGTTGATGATTCCAAAGATGCGACCTTTAGCCCCGACATGCTGGACATGATCCTCAATGATTTTGCCACCTTAGTTGCCACCAGTTCTGAATCTGAGGCCATCACTTCGACCAAGCTGCATGAACTTCTCCACCAATCCATCGCCAATGCAGAAGGAGACAGCAGTTTTACCATGGTTGGTGATGTGGAAAACCCTGGGGAAGATTTTGCAGGTCTCGGAGTGTGTTTTCATGGGGACGAGCCAGATGTAGAGATGTCTGATGGCTTGGTGCATGTGTTCCAAGAGACCCGTGACATGTACGACATGAGTGATCCCAATATCTATGTCGTGTTGGATGAGGGGTGTAACTCAACTTGTCACTCCAAACATTGGGCTGAGGTAGTAACTGCCAAGCTGAAGAACTTGGGATACCAGTTTCCATTCAATGACACCAAGGGGAAAACCTTCTCTGGATTGGGGACCGGGGGAACCTCAACCGAGGGATCCCGTACATTGCCTTTCAGCCTGAATTTCATGGACAGCAAGTGTACACCCATTCATGGGGTACTTGAGACGCACCAACTTAGCTCCGGGACATCACCACTCTTGCTGTCACTGCATGCTCAAGCCCATCTTGGACTTGTCAAGGACTTGAAGAATGGAACAGTATCCATTGATGGTAATCAGTTGCCAGTTTTCAGATGTTCTCATACAGGTTTGATGATGTTAGCAATCACCCCAAATCAAATTGATCCGACAGGAAAAACGTCCAATCACATTTCACAACAGATCCCAAAGTGCCACAGAAAGTTTCGAACTGCCTTTGCCGCCCTATCCGACGAGCCTGGTTCGCCGTCGGCCAGTGAGATGTTGAGGTCTCCAAGTGGCTACAGCTCGTCAAGCGCAGATCACATCGAAGGTGCCGTGAACAACTGCCTGAGGGGACTGGGCAGATCCCGATGCCTTGTGGTCACTTCAGGTGCTCGTTGGACAGGTCGACAGCCAAGCTTCCCTGGTGCTAAGGTTCTTCAGATTGACTGCAGGCATTTCCATGATCCTGACAGCGACAGATCGATCCGAGGTTGCACTGGACGACATCCTAGCATTATCCGAGGAGTTGCACTTCATGAGGCAATGAATGACCTCGTTGAGCAGGTGACAGATTTCTTGAGGGCTAACCCGAATGGGAAGCTCGTGATCCACTTGTACTGCACCAGTGGTCGTCATCGCAGTGTTGGATTGGCAGCTTTGATCTACTACTTCTTGGACGTGACTGATTGGAGGAAGCCTTTGCTGATCCATTATCACAGCCCGGAGTGGCGTGAGATGACTTGTGGAGGTCATTGCAGTCTTTGTGCAACAGCCGACACCAGAGAGCTTGGAAACTTGATGAACAGGCATCTTCCTGACGTGCGTGTTGTGGATGTGGATGAACCTGATAGGTCATCAGGAGTTACTAGGCCGCCTGAGCCTGTTAGGCCACCGGCACCAGGGCCTACTACAACGGCGACGAGATCTATCCCCACGTTGACACCATCCAGGACTATGCCAGTTCCAGTCCGTGCTCCTATGACACCATCCTTTGGAGGTACATCGACGAGAACGCCTTTGACACCCAGGTATGTTCCAGCATATCCACCTCCAAGCCGTAGTGCTGGAGACTCATCTCGTGGAGGAGCACATCACGAAGGAGACGAACGAGGCCGTGATTATGGAGGACAAGACCGAGACTTAGCAGTACAGGTTCTTGCTAATCAGGTCCAGGAGCTCTCAGGTCTTGTGAGACAGGTGCTTGAAGGAGAACGAGCTGATCGTGGAAGGACCAGAAGAAGATCCTCTTCGAGCGGCAGGCGTGGTCGGCGATCTCGAAGCAGACGCCGTGTGTCATCTCCAAGGGTACCTTCTCCAAGGACCCCTCCATCACCACCGAGGCCACCGATTCGACACCCATGTGATGAGTCTCAGCGTCAGCGACTTGAGAGGGAACTCCGCGACATCTTGAACGACAACAGCGGAGACCCATATCGCTGGAATGTCGATGAAGACATCCTTTCTTGGATCATCTCTTCTGCAAAACTGTGGGGAAACAGAGATCGGGTGATCTGGATTACAGACCCCAGCCTTCCTCATGAGGAGCAGCAGCAGCAAGGCATCAGGGTGGACATCAAGCTCAGATCCCACGTGAGGAGCACTTTGATTTCAGGTGGCAAATGGATGAATCGACAGGGTTGGGTGAAATCGTCATTGTATCGACCACGTGATTCCGCAGGAACATTGTGGAACAGACTTCAACGGGAAGAAGCTGTTGGAGAGAACGTCGATCTCCCGACTACTTGGGCCGATTTGGTGATCTTCTCACATCGAGACGTGCGCCCGCGAGCATATACGGGGCGCGTGGTTTTGTTGTCAGGTGATCAGGGTTTTGAGGGCAGTATCGCACCAAAACCGGAGCCCCAAAACGCACCAAAAACGGAGCCCCAAAAGAGCCAGAAATATGTCCCCAAAACAAAAGTCCATTCGCAGAGTCGAAAGAATCCTCCAACTCCACCACAGCCAAGTCGGTTTATGATTTGTACAGATGATGACATGTTCAAGGGAAACCCCAAGATTCAGACCCCGAAAGATGAGTCAACCGACTATAGCACAAGTTCATCCGATGAGAGCCCTGTTGCCAAACCTGTGAAAAGCAAATCCTCCAATGGAAAGCCTTGTCATGAGAAAACCCCCAAGGATGAAGTGATCATCAAAACCGAACCCGGTGATGTACTGCCAGTTGGACTCATGGCCAGAGATCCAGATGGTCCCAACATGCATGAAGTTGTTCTGGACTCTGACACCGATGTTGAAGTGCATGAACATGGTCCAATTGCCATCCAACCCAATTAGAGAGTCACCATGGGTAGGAAACACCGTAAAGCAGTGTTGGACGGTATTGCCAATTTGAACAAGAACGACATGATGATCCAGAGTGGACTTGGTTTGATTTCCAATCCCAATCGAGATAGCAAGACAGTTGTTTTCACTTCCCATCCGTTCGTGTTCGTCCAGGAGTCTGGCCAGCCTTCGGTCGACGTGATCGACGTTGGTGTGGGGGCCAGTCATCTTGACCCTGAATTTGACCCCAAAGATTTTTGTAATCTGTTGGCGGGGTATCAAAACATTGTCATTGCCATTGGATACAACAACCCAAATGATCCATTGGGACATGGTCGTTTTCTGGCAGAAGTGGAGTTGATGTGCGACTTGGACAATTGCAAGTTTCTGCACATAGATGTTGCCATGACTGATCGATGGGAGAAACATCAACACCCCCAAACACCATATATCAATGACCATGGTTTGGCATTCACATGCAATGACGAACAGTGGACCCATGAGTTTGAATCTTGGTTTCGTGGACAGACAATGGACGATGTCTTGTCTTGGAAGTTTGCAGATTGGATTGGGAGTTGGGCCAAGGAAGATGATTTGAACCATCAAATGGGGATAGCGTTTGTGGGGGACATGCATGAAGAAGCACATGAAGAGCATCAACGACTTGACGCCCTCTGGGACTCCGATGACAGAGCCCAGGTGAACCCTGTTGAGGAACTGATTTCTGAGGAAACCCTCATTGACGAAGTCGAGATTCCAGGACTTCCACAAGATGAGGTGGAGAGACGCAGGCAGTGGAGAAAGCTTCCAGCCAGAGTGAGGATCGCTGTCAGGCGACTTCACCGTCAGTTTGGTCATGTGCCGAGGCAGACCATGATCCACTTGCTTCGTGCTGCCAGGGTTCGAACAGAGTTATTGATGCAGTAAAACTTCATAGGTGCACAGCATGTGAAGAAACATCCCGAAAGAAACCCACACACAAAACTGCATTGCCCCACAACTACTCTTTCAACCATAGCTTGGGAATTGATGTTTTTGAGATCATTGATGCAGGTGGTTCCAAGTTTCAAGTTTTGAACATGGTAGATCTTGGGACGACATTTCAACTGTGCGAGGTTGTCAGAACAGGCCAGGGACAGCCATCATCCAGTGAATGTCTGAAGGCCCTGCAGAAACGTTGGTTTTCATGGAGTGGACACCCAGTGAACTTGATGTGTGACCGAGGGTTGCATAACCGTGGTGTACTGTCAAAGTACATGGACGATCATGGCATTCAGGTTTATCACAGCCCACTTGAGGCACCTGAAAACCTTGGCCGTGTAGAGCGCCACGGGGCCATTGCCAAAGCTCTTTTCCGAAAGGTCTCAAAAGAAACTCAACCTCTTGGCAGAGAACAGGTTGAGTCAGTTCTGCAAGAGGTGCTCATGGTGAAGAATAATGCATCACGTGTAGGAGGTTTTTCACCATCACAGTGGGTGTTGGGTAAGGCACCACGCTCAGACCCCAGTCCATTGTCCGAAGAGCGATTTGCAGAGCTCGGAGCCTTGGAGGCCCAGCACAACCCCGAAAGCATTTTTGCTTTGCAGCATCTTGCTAGGCAGGAAGCACAGAAAGCATTTGTATACCTCGATTGCTCCAAGCGTGTCCAGCGAGCCATGACCAAAAACACATCACCTTTTCCGAGAGACTTCGAAATCGGGGACTTGGTGACTTTTCGCAGGGATAACCAGCGGGGAGGCACACGATGGAGTCCCACAAGTAGGGTGATAGGCCATGAGGGAGAGAGAAACCTATGGTTGCTTTGTGGAAATGTCCCGGTACTAGTGGCCAGTCAGAATGTGAAGGTAGCTACTCCAAGTGAAGCATTGGCGCATTCGGTTCTCCATGGGCAGCCTGTCATTCCTGATGAGGTCGTGATCGGAGGTGAACAGCAATCCTTTTTGGATGCTCGAATTTCCCCAGATTCCCAAAGCGACGGATATGAGCCATCCGTACTTGAGGCGCCTGAACCAATTGCCTCAGGCGAGGGAGCTGAACTACCATTCATAAATTGGGGAGATAATAATGAGGATTTACCACCAATACCCGAAGATGAAGAATTGGATAATGCAGGGGTAACTGTACCGGAAATCACCATTGATGGTGAAGACATGTCAGATGAAGTAAATGGTACAGATGAACTGATTGAAGCTGCCAGTTCCAGTCTGGACAGACGGAGATCAAGTGTTGCCCCTCGTGCCGACAGAAACGTGAGACCCCGTCTTGAAACCCAACCTGAGAGTGAAAGAGGGTCATCGCTTATGCCTTCCAGGCGCGAATCTGTGGACTCAGCAGACAGACCTTCTGCTGAAGCACCACAGCTAACACCATCACAAGCCGCAGGGCCACAATCATGGCCCAATCCGTATGACAGTCTTAATGACCTTCCAGCATCCCTGAGGAGCCACTTTGAGCGAGCCCGAAATGCGGCCGCACAATGGTCCGTAGAACAAGTTGAACAGTCCACAGCCATGTTCACATGTTTTATGGCAGGGAAAGATGAGATTGTAGAAGAAGGCAAGAAGGTCCTGAAAAGCATTCATTTCGAATCAGCGCCACCTGAGGTTCAAAAGGCACTGCAAGCTTCTCGAGCCCAGGAATGGTCAAAGTTTGAAAGCTTCGGAGCAGTCGTGCCACTGACTCCGGATCAAGTGCAAGAGCTTGTTGCTGAGGGACATCAGATTATACCCTCCAAATGGGTAGATGTTGACAAAGCTCAGTACAAGAAAGGCCGAGATCCAAATTACCAGCCACAATACAAAAGCAGGTTAGTTTCCTGCGGAAACTTCGAATGCAGTGACGGTCTGAGGTCAGACAGCCCCACAGCTGACATTGAGGTTCACAACCTCATTTGCTGTTGGTGTGCAGCACATGAGCTCGACTTGCATTCGGCTGATGTGACATCAGCATATTTCCAAGGACGACCTTTGGACCGGGTACTCCTGATGAGACAACCCCGGGGTGGCATCCCAGGAGTTGACGAGGGAATTGTTTACCTCGTAAGGGTACCAATCTATGGACTCACAGACTCAGGTCGCGGATTTTGGCTGCGATTGGATGGAGATGCCAAGAAAGAAGGCATGAAAGCATCACAGTTTTTCCCAGGTCTTTATTTTCTTCCAGGGAGCGATGGTGATACATGCGCATTGATGTGCACACATGTTGACGATCTTTTGTACTGTTACTTGCCCGAAGGTAAGGAAGTCATCGAACGTTTTCTGAATAAGTTCAACATCGGCAGCACCGAAGTGAACGAGTTCAGGTATTGCGGAAAGCAGTTTTCGCGTTCAGGTGACGGAGACATTTTCGTCGACACCGTCGATAACACCAGGAAGATCAAACCAATTCCAATTGACGCTGGCCGTCCAGGCAGTGAGAAGATTTCAGGTGATGACATCACACGACTTAGGTCGGTGACCGGGTCACTCGCTTGGGTTGCTCGCCAGACAAGACCAGATTTGGCGTACCGAGTTAGCCGCCTACAATCTTCAATCAAAAATGCCACAGTCAGCACTTTGTGCGACGCAAACGCAGTTGTACAACTTGCTCACAAAGGTGATCAGGTAAGGCTTCGTTTTCCAAGCGGACATCTCAAATGGGATGAGATAGGTCTGATCACAATTACTGACGCTTCATTCTCCAATGAACAGAACTACCGTTCCCAACAGGGACGTTGTCACTTTCTTGGAGACCTCACAGAGATCAAGAGCAGTAGCTGCAACACGTACAGAGTAATGCCTCTGTCTTACAGCTCTACCACGATCCGACGTGTGTGTCGAAGCACGCTCCAGGCTGAGACGTATTCACTGCAGCATGGTCTCGAAGCAGGGGACAAGCTCAGAGGTGTCTTGGCAGAACTCAAAGGCCAGATCAAATCCATGCGGACATGGGAAACTGATGCAAGGAGCTGCGTACCGCACTTAGCCCTCACAGATTGCCGCTCATTGTCAGACCACTTGGCTTCCGAGATCCTGGCGAAGGTGAGCGACAAAAGACTTGGCATCGAATTACAAAGTATTCACGAATCCTACTGGAATGATGACCGAAAAACATGGGACATCTATCCGAATGGAGGAGATAAGCTGTCATGGATAGCAACACACACCATGATCAGCGACTGCCTTACAAAGAGTATGAAACCAGATTTCATAATTCGAGTGTTGGCAGAGTGCATGTACAAAGTACAGAAGCAGTAATAACACCACTGCGTTCTTTCTCCGCAATGCCCTGTACAGACATAGCTGTGTATATTTCTATGTGACACCTGAAGAACAGGTTGAGTGTCAATTTGTGGTATGTGATACTCCATGTAAAGGCCAGGTTGTCACATGTAGTGTCTGCTGCCATTTCGGCTATCAGGGCCCTTGAGCTACATCGCTATCGCTACTAGCAAAAAGAGCCGCGTTGGACTGCACGATACCGTTGCCAATTCACAATATATATATATGGTGTGCCATGGATCCCATCAATATACCCCAGTCATGTTAGCATAGAAAAACCAGCACCAGCCGGATCCGTCATGGGTTTTTTCTGTGTTTCACACCGGTCACCAGGCTCAGATTGCCGACACCTTGGCCCTGGAGTCGAAGGACATTCACCTGGCGAAGTCCAGAGATACGTCGGGAACTCGGAACTTTCACCCCGGAGCGACCGTACTTTCCATCATGTTTGCTTCGGAAATGGATCTCCAAATCTACTGGTTCATCAATTTCCCTATTAAATTTTATATGTACATGTATGTCATTTACTAATATGTAATATTTATATATGTATAATACATGGATTATATTATATCATATTATATTATATTATTTTTTATCACATTATGCTATACATTTATTTGGTTATATGATCATAATTTAGGGATATACCCTGTTTTCAGACACACCCAAATGATGGGAATTGGATTGGGATGATTGGGGGACTCATCCGAAGAAATGGCGAAGAACGCCTTGATTGGGAAATTTATGGAA